TCCAAGGTGGTTAAACAATATGGGGGGGAGAGGGGACAGGCAAAATTCACCGGGCTCTGTATCATCCTACAAGTACCTTTCCAAGCCACACTCCCTGTTCATATCAACATAAAAACACCAAAATGAAGAGGTACATGGCAAAAGGAGGGGGGACAAAAATCAAAGAACTGTCACAGGCAGGTGTTAGTGCCATGGAATGGTGAGCTCATGGGTGAAACACTGCTCAGTGTCAGAGGGACAAGCCAAGAGAGACAAGTCAAGCTTAGAAGAGCCTGGAAAGAGCAGACGACTATGTTTGAGTAGCCTGAAAACAGAGGCGGTTGTGTGTGTGTGTGTTTGGGGGTGGGGGGGAGCTATCTTCAAAGGAGATCATGCCATGCCTTTGTTTCCAAGCTGCAGAAGCGAGCCACTACCCTTGGAATCAAGTGGAAACTCTTCCAAGGGCTGGTCGGGACACTTCCTTCACCTGGCTCCAGCTCAGGATGCTCTGGCCACTTTGATAGTCTGAGACATGATTCCTGTGAGATGCTCACAGTTAGCTCTTCGGAAACATCCTACGCTCATTTCAAAGTTCCTTCCTCACTGAGGCCATGGCCATGCCGTTTCTCAAATACTTTCCCTGCACATCCTCCTCTGTCACAGGGCTGACAGTCATCTGACTTCTTTATTTTTTTTGATGTATTTTTTCCTACCACCAGGTAAGGTCTAGGAAGAAGAGGACCTGTCCTGTTTGGGTTCTTGGTTCCTAGAACAGCATCTGCATGAAAAAGGATTGGATGGATTTGGCTATTGTAAATGAAAAGACCACAAAAAGTCCTTCTCTTCTACATCTTCCTACAGAACAACAGGTATGTAACTCAAGGTTTTACATCTTCAAACATGGCACATGTCTCAAGTATGAGATGCAAGAGAAGAGACAACTGAAAAAATTCAAAGACATGCTAATCTCAATACAAAAACTTTGCCTAAATTAAAAGGAAGTGTGTACCCCTGCTAATAAATCAAAATAAGTTAAAAGAAAGTAATTTAATTTTTTTAACAAAAATGAATTTTTGGAAAAACAAGGCATAAACAAAAAACTCCAATAAGACATTTGAAGAATCCTACAAACTTTTTAGACTTTTTTTTTTTTCTTTTTTTGCTTTTTGGGTCACACCTGGCGATGCACAGGTGTGCACTAAGTGCACTACAGAATCACTCCTGGTGGTGCTCAGGGGACCATATGGCATGCTGGGAATCGAACCCGGGTTGGCCCTGTGCAAGACAAACGCCTTACCTGCTGTACTATCGCTCCAGCCCCACTCTTTGAACTTTTTAAATTGAATTCATGAAAGACTCTCCATTACAAAGTTAAATGAAATTTAGTTTTAAAATAGGTTTCCAAAAAGAAAACATTACATGGGAATTTTCTTTATGAACTACATACACAGCTCATTTATAACTTTACTAGAATTTAGACCTGTTCTATGAAAAAAAGTCCAATCATACAAAATTTATTCTAAGCAAAATGATTTTGTATAGCTGGTCAAATTTTCAGTTATATTTTGGAACTATCACTTAGAAGCAACATTAAAAATTTATTCTAAGGACGATTCTCAAAAAATTAGAAATTGAGCTCCCATTTGACCCAGCAATACCACCCCTGGGAATATATCCCTGAGAGACAAAAATGTATAGTCAAAGTGACATCTGCATTTGTTTGTTCATTGCAGCACTCTTTACAATACCCAGAATCTGGAAAAAACCTGAGTGCCCAAGAACAGATGACTAGTTAAAGAAACTTTGGTACGTCTACACAATGGAGTACTATGTAGCTGTTAGAAAAGATGAAGTCATGAAATTTACATACAAGTGGTACTACATGGAAAGTATCATGCTAAGCGAAATGAGTCAGAAAGAGAGTGATAGACATAAAAAGACTGCATTCATCTGGGGGACATAAAGTAACAAATTAGGAGATTAATACCCAAGAATAGCCGAGATCAGTACCAGGAGGACTACTCCATGGCTTAGAGGCCACCCCATGGCTTAGAGGCCAGCCGAGCAATCTAGGGGAAAGGGCAGTTCAGATAGAGAAGGGAGCACCAAATAAAGGGTGTTTGGAGGATCCTCCCAGGATGGGAGATGCATGTTGAAAGTAGACTATGGACCAAACATGATTGCCACTCAATGACTCTTTTGCAGACCATAACACCCAAAAGGAGAGAGAGAACAAAAGGGAATGCCCTGCCACAGAGGCAGGATGGGAATGGAGGATGGGGGTGGGAGGGATACTGGGATCCATGGTGGTGGAAAATGGGCACTGGTGGAGGGATGGGTATTTGATCATTGTATAATTGAAACCCAAGAACAAAAATTTGTAAGTCTACAACTGTACCTCATGGTGTTTCACTAATAAAAATTAAAAAAAAATTAAAGAAAAAAAAAGAGTTGCCTTGCAGTCTGCTGAATCCTGAAGATCAGCCCAGGCTGCATGTTGGAAGTGACAATGTGCATGGCAGCACATGCACAGGACAGAACTTGGTGCCACAGCCTGGCAAGGAGCACCTGGATGTGTGCAAGTAACCCTGTGCTTCTAAGGAGCTCAATGACAGAATGCATTAGGCATTCATTCTTTTCAGGAGACTGTAGCACTGTAGCACTGTTCTCCCATTGTTCATTGATTTGCTTGAGCGGGCACCAGTAATGTCTTCATTGTGAGACTTGTTGTTACTTTTTTGGCATATCAAATACACCACAGGGAGCTTGCCAGGCTCTGCCGTGCACGCAGGATACTCTCGGTAGCTTGCTGGGTTCTCCGAGAGGGACAGAAGAATAAAACTCGGGTCGGCCTCATGCAAAGCAAACGCTCTACCCACTGTGCTATTGCTCCAGCAGACTAGGAGAGTGAAATTTCTCTTTTCAAGTGACAAACGGCAATGCCTCTAAATAGTCTGTGATTTTCTACAACAGAATCCTTCCTTGTTTTCAGTGTAAGAATTATACCTCTGTCTACACACAACAGACTACTACTCAGCTATAAGAAAGGCTTACTACAATCCCGACGGAGCTAAAGGGCATGACGTTAAGTGAAATTAGACAGAGGGAGAGCACATACTGAAGATCCAACTCACAGGTGGCATTTTATGAAACAAGGCAAAGGTATATAGATAGTATTTAATGAAAACGGGAAGATCAAACTAATACATGGTATTTTAGGAAAGAAGGCAAAAGAGATGATATTTAATGGCAGCCCCTAGGACTTCGAATACAGAATCAAGATTACCAAGTGAGGGACAAGTTGCAAAGAGAAAGAGGCAGACTAGACATAACCCCAAGATTATGGAGAGTCCTCAACATTTTGATGATAGTAAAGGAACAACAATTATGCACATTATAAGTTTGAACATAAATATACTATAACCTCGTTGCCCGAACCACAATATAAATATTCTTAATACAACTTAACAATTTTTTCCATAAAATCCCTAAAAAATGGATTAAGGTGTTATGAACATTTATGTATTTCCATTACAGAAAACCTGCAGTACTCTTCAAAAGTAAAGGGAGAGTAAAGAAAAATAACGCCAGGCTACTCAGCTTTGGCTACAATTTTATTCTCTTAAATTTTCAGCAAAAATGAAACTATGAATAAAGTTTAGAGTGGGACTCAAAATTCTGTCCTTCACCAATATGGATTTGCCTATTCACATGAAAGATATTATTCTAGATGGAGAAAAATGAATAGGCTCAGAGAACTTCCATAATATAGCCAGATGCTTGCTCCACTACTCTGATAGTTAATGTCACTAACTTACTCTTTACCAGGCCATTTAGGATATTTTTCTTCCTCATCACACTTATAAGCGGTTTTATTTCTTTTTAAATAACAGTTTTCAAAAATAATATTTTTTAAATAATAGCTTTCAAACTTTTTAAATAGATTTTTGTTGTTATTTTGTATTTGTGAGATTTGTGTGTGTGTTTTGGGGGGAGGGGTGTCATATCCAGTGGTGCTCAAACACTCATTCAGTCTGAACGATGTGCCCAACCCTGACTGAGTTTTAAGACAAACTCTTTCACTTCCTTAAAGTTACTCAATTGTTTCTAAACTGCATAACTCACTTTCCATTTTAAAAATAACGCTACAATAGCTTTGTTTAGTCCTATTTTAGAAATGAAGAACTCCACTATATTATTAGTTACGGAAAGAGTAAAACACAGCTATCTTCCTCTTTAGAGTTTAGGAGAATTTTTTCCTCATGAGTCATGGATTATCTTCAGGATTTCCCCTCTGCAGTAGTAATAGCCATAAATTTTTAAAAGTATTTGTTATTATTAAGATATTGAAGTAACATTGGTTTAAATTAAGAGGGGTAAATTGAGTAAACATAAAAGAAAATACTTGCATGTTTTAGGGGCACAGTGTTACCAGGCAATTCCCACCACCAAAACGCTAATCACCCTCCACCAGAGACCACCCACTCTTCCTTTCCACCCATCCCTTGCATCCCCAAATCAGGTAACCTCAGTTTCACTATCAGAATCTAAAGGTTTGTGTTCATTCTACATGGTCTATTCAATCCTGCCTTTCTTTCCTTACACACTAAGTCTCCAATAGCGTACACATTATTTTAGTAGACATTTAGAGACTGCCACTGGATTTTTAAAGGGTGGAGTAGCTTCTAATATGTGGTTTCTTCGCTATATTTTCTCAATATGATGAAAAACAAAATAACACAGGATAAAAGGAATGCTCCATGTCAACAAATTACTCCATGTTTGTTCATGAGCACTTTCTTTAGCAAGGGCCTTTTACCAAGGTCAAAGCCACAGAAAATTCAACTTCTTATGACATATAATACCTATAGAGTGCTGTGGGTATCTACTCATGACCTGAGGAGCTTTAAAATAGTTTCACATAGGAAAGAAAAGCCAACATGTAACTGGGATATTCCTTGTGCTTTTCAAACCCCACACTCAAAAGAGGTAAGTGAATAGCATTATGTTGTGTCTCTTACCTAAAGAATGTGCAGCTGTGGTTTTGGAGCTGAAAAACCGGCCAAGTCCAAGGTCTCCAAGTTTGACCACCCCAGTGGCTGTAATGAACACATTTGCTGGTTTTATATCTGTGAAAACGAAGGGAGCATTTGAAGATGATGTCAGTTTAGATATCCTCAAGAGATTAAAACCTACGTTTTTATAGCAGAATTCTAAAAAGATCTTAAAAATGAAAAGCAGTTTGAATTTTGAACCAATGATATAATTTTGAACCAATGAATAATGGGCATATATTTTAATGGTTCTGCATTCAGCTTTCTGATAATCACCATTGAGCATAATAAAGATCACTATTAATTTTCATTTAAATATTTTTTCTTTCATTTTAAAATAAACACTTGAGAAATTTAAAGCACAAAATGAATTTGAATCCATTTTATATTCATCTCAAAATATCCTTATTAATTTATTGTTATGTTCACATCAGACATAAAATGATAATTCTATTACATATGATAAAATGATAATTCTATTATATATTTATGCAATTATTTACTTAGAAAACATTAAAAACATTAATTGCTTGAATAAATCATACTGAAAGTTTTCACAAACAAAAATTAGTGGATAAATTTCTTAGAGAAAAACCTTTATGAAGCTCTTCCCAACCATTTGATTGATAATTAAGAATTTATTAAGAACTAATGCTGAAAGTCAGAATTCCAAATGGCCATAGTAATATAAACTGTTCAATCAAGGGAAAAACACATCCCTTTTTTATGCTTATCCAGCTGCTTTTCAGCACCATTTTTTTTTTCTTATCAACATAATCTGAACTACACCATAGCAGTCAAGGAGAAAAATAACTCACTCTCTTCTTTAAAACCACATGGAGTCTTACTTAATGGATTATCATCCTAGTAAAATTAAAATCTGGATGTAGATCAACTGGGAAAGCATGATCCTATCCAATGATAGAAAGGTCTTCTTAGCTTCCTTAATGATGTGCATCACTAAAAACGCTGAGAGCCAGTCACAGTTTGACCTCACCTCGGTGCATGACGCGTCGAGAATGCATGTGTTCTAATGCGCTGCAGAGTTGAACAAAGTACTTCCAGACAGTTCTCTCGGGAATTAGTCTCTTTTGTTTCTTAAAATGCTTTAAAAATTAAAATAATGATAAGAATAAAAATATCTTGATTTGCAAAAAAGCTGTAAGTCAGAAACCTGTCTTACTTTTATTTACATATTACCAAAGAAAAAGCATCTTATGTGCCACATTAAAATGATTCCAAGAATGTTACCTGACTTCGTGACATAGTAACTTATATCTCTTTCTCATGCATCTAACAGTGAAGGTAATATAAAGTTGCACTTTTGTGATGTGTAAGCATTTAAAAATAATTAACCTCTCTATAAAATAATTATTTTCCCTTAAAAGGGGGTGTCAAATTTCATCTCAAGGAAAATCAGAATAAAAACATCTAGAAATCTGAAAGTAGTAATGCCTTTTAAATGGCAATTCTTTTGAAACATGATTTCAGTATAGAATCTGTCTAAACTATTGAACCACTGCAAGTGATCTGAAATATCACTTAATTAAAAATTAAAATAAAAGGGCTAATATAAAATTTTGTGACTGTTCATATTATACATGACAAGTCAAACTTGCATTTTGCTTTGAATATGTAAAACTGTACTTTGTAGAAAGAATCCAGAAAGAAATTAAACATCAGTTAGAAAGTGTGGGCTGTTATACATTGGAGGGCAGTCATTAAGGCCAGAGGTGTACATTTATGCACATTTGTCATATCACTTTTATTAGGATATGCTAAAAACATTACAGGGACAAAATTTTTAGTTTCACAGTTTCATAAAGATGTACCATATAAAAATTTTTCAAAACAAAATTTAAGTGGCTTTTCTATTTAACAAAATCTGTAAATGAACATAAAAATTGTGTAAGCAAATTTCTAGAACATTTTCTGATAGATTCAACTTAAAAATAAAACCCAGTGAATAAATATGTACCTTAACACATTTTATCTGGAAACCTGACATTTCTGAAGGTCAACCGATTTGATTTTAATTTTACTACTGACTAAGAAAAGAGACTTTAGACAAGTTCAAAATAACTACCTCTGTCAATTTTTACTCTTGTGACCAATTATGATAGGCTAAAAATTAAAAACAATATAGAAATATCTGCTAATATCTCTCTTTAGTAACAAGCAAAGACTGTAATGTCTCATATGCACTCAACATACCAAAGCATAAACCTTTATGGTAAAGCTAATAACCTTAGCTCATTCTGTATTACAACAGGAAAATTAATGTAGTCATTTCATTGGCTTAGAAACTGGTGATTACCCCAGAAGCAGGAACAAATAACAATTAGATGACCACATAATTGAAAAACAAACCAGGATATTACTAAAGCATTGAAAACCTCCCTCATCATGTTTCAATACTAAGTCTTTTAAATTGCAGATTGTGTCAACATGTTTGCATTCTAAGGGGGCAACGCTGCAAAATCAGTTCTACACACATAATTTTCCTTCAGACTTGGAAAGAGTCCAAAGAAAGCCTGTGTATGCACTCTCCCTGTTGGATTAGCATATCAGAAGACTGTTTGATGTCAACAGGAAGATGGGGATCAGGTTTCTTTTCATTCAAAAAAATATATACTGTATCATGTAAGTATCAGACCATAAAAGAAAAATTTTATGCTTTTATAGAGATTCTGAAATCATAATTACAATTGATTTGGCAGTTTACTTTTAAAGTCCCATTAGTTCAAAATAAGTCATATATATAAAGGAAAAAGCAGACCAAAAATAAAAAAAAGAAACTGCCCTTACAAAAAAAAAAAAGAGAAAATGGTGATTATTTTAGGTGTGTTTACATTATTTTCTTTTAACAACAAATTACATACAGCATTAACATAAACTGACATCAATATAATGTTACAATATGAGATAACCTGCAAAATTAAGTATCCAAATATTCTGCATATTTTTGAAGAACAATTTTAAGCATTTAATTACAAAATAAAGTAAAAGCAGTTTGCCACAGATGTCACCAATATATTTAATGTTTCTGTTTAAATCTGTATAGATTTTCAACTACCCCTAAGTACACAACAGTTTTTTCTTTTTATAAAAAAAACCAATACTGAGGATGAGAAGCATCCACCTGTTCTGATGGTGGCACTGTTGGCTGCAGCTTAGATAATGAACAGGAAAATGGCAAGAATATCTGAGTTCTTTTACTACTGGTAAACTTGGTATTAGAGCTACAAAGCAAGAAATTCTATAATGTCAAGTATTTTTATTAAAAAAATCTTTTCATATGTAGTTTACTAATTAATATATTGAAAGTTAATCCCCATTCAAATAATATTTTCATGCAGACCCTACTTCTCTCTGGAAAATAAGATAGTCCCACGTTTATGCCTACATTAGAAATAAGCCTAAAGCCAAAATAAAGAAATAAAATAAAATATTTGTTGTTCTGGAAAGACTTTGATAAAGAAATAAATAATGGAAGCAATTTTAACGGACATTATCATTAAATATATATGTGAAAAGATTAAGTACTATGGCACCATTTAAGAAACAGAATGACTTTCTCATGGTGATTCAAAAAAAAAAAACAGAATGTATCTACTTAAGAAACAGAATTGTAACTTTCTATGCCTAAATAAAATCTAAAAAATCTATGAGGAATCAGAAATTAGCACTTAGGTATGTCATCATTTAGTCATTTTTTAAGGGTCGGTTAGTTTTTTCACTGTTCAAAACTTCAAACACTGCCTTAAAAATACGTTAGTATGTGCATCAACAATTTTCAAATAAATACGGAAAATTTCTCAAATCTTTTAACAGAGAGTGAACTAAAAGCTACCAGTGTACATATAAAAAATATAAAAACATTATATTATATTCTCATTTATATGCAAAACCTTTCACTTGTGTGAAAGTCAGCATACATTCAAACATATTTGCATTGCCACTAAAACAGGTGCTGTGTATTTAAGAGGTCATCTGTTACCTTTTTCAGAAAAGAAACACTACTCAGCACCCCTTTGGAAATCCACCTTACTCAAGCAAAGAAACAAGAAGTAAGCCTCCAACATACCCGAAGCTACTACCTCCTCACAGATGGTTCCAGAACCTCCCAAAGATGATTTCACTCAGTGTGCGAGACACTGAGCTAGCTAACACAAGCTATTTCCATTCTAAGACTTCAAAAAAAAGAATTTTTTTAAACTATCAAATTTCTTCCTAGAATTTAAAAGTACATGAATAAATCCAGTTACAGTGTGGACATGGTCTGTTTTGGACTCAACAGGGTCCCACAGTTCCTGAATTTAGACCCTACAATTCCAGCATTCCATGCAGGCATGGTTTGGGGGAAATATCAATCATATCACTCAGAATTGACTCATCCAAAGAGGAAAAAGAGAAAACAAAACAGGGAAGGAGCATCCTGTTTCAGGAACACCAAGTTAACTTCTGTGGTGTGTCAACCAGTGGAGCCCCCAGTGGAGAATGTTGCTCTTTAAAGAGAAAAAAAGATCTCCCTGATGCTAAAAGTAGACTGTAGACCAAACATGATTGCCACCCATTGCCTCTTTTGCAAACCACAACACCCAATAAGAGAGAGAGAACAAAAGGGAATGCCCTGCCACAGAGGCAGGGTGGATGGGGGGATGGGAGGTGGGAGGGGTACTGGGATCCATGGTGGTGGGAAATGGGCACTGGTGGAGGGATGGGTATTTGATCATTGTATAATTGAAACCCAAGCACAAAAATGTGTACGTCTGCAACTGTACCTCATGATATCTCACTAGTAAAAATTAAAAAAACAAATAAATAAAAATAAAGAGAAAAAAAAGAGCTGCATGTTCCAGTGCGTGACCCATGGGATCACACAAGACCCTCCCTGCACTTAGCTTCATGCTTCATCACTTTTTAAAACAAAGGGCTGCACCACAACTTGGCCGGTCCTGGAAACCACACCTGTAGCATCCTTTGGAGATGCACTTCTTCCTCAGTTAAAACAAAACCAAAAGCAACAAACATAATCCTGGAATGCACGGCATTCCTGAAGGTGATCAAGAGAAATTATAATTAAATAATGAGAAATAACGAAGTCCTAGGAGAACCAGGACTGCAGGCTGCAGCTGTTTTCCATCCCTTCCAATTATCTAAGAAGAGGAAGTAATTTATGTTGAATCTAAGGAAATACTTCCTGCTTGGGAGTGCTCTCAACTATTTAATGTGCCACTAACAGAATCCATGGTCACATTTTAATAACAGACCTGACCAGGAAGCCTGACAGTAATTGATGGTGTGACCTTAAACAAGCCACTTAACCTTGTTGGACCTCAGTTTCCTCACTTATAAACAGCTTAGTAATGATCTATGGGGTCCCCTCCACTTCAAACGTATAATCACTGAGCCTACAGTTTCAGTTACAAATAATTCACAAATAACAAATAGCTGTTTGTCACAGTATCACAGTTTAAAATGGTTATTTTATCGATAGATCCTATCCTTCAAATATCCAGCCAGTTATAAAAATATAAAACACCTCAGAGATCTTCCTTCATAGGTCCAGTGAATACTATTTTTGATCTCCAGGAAATGACATGAGCTAAAGTTCTTTGTGATAAACTTGTAATTAGGTCAAACATTAATCATCAGAAGGGATGTTGGTCCTCAGATGAACATATCATGTTCACTGGGCACATTGAGCAGAACATTTAAAATCACCAAGAATTAAATCAGACTTGTGGAAAAGATAAGGTTCTTCTGCAAGTATAGAGGCCAAGTCTAAGGGATTTTATTATATACTAGTCCTTCTCTGCCCTTCTCGGAGAGCCTGGCAAGCTACCGAGAGTATCCCGCCCACACAGCTGAGCCTGGTAAGCTCCCCATGGCCTATACGATATGCCAAGAACAGTAACAATAAGTCTCACAATGGAGACGTTACTGGTGCCCACTCAAACAAATCAATAAACAACAGGACAGAGCTACAATGCTACTAGTCTTTCTAGGGAAGCCGCTTTCCTTTGAAGGTAAAAGTGGGGGTCTCAATAACTGAAGCTGTAATTATACACTGTAAATTAGTTATAGCCCAGCTAATATTTAG